CTCTCTCTCTCTCTCTCTCTCTCTCTCTCTCTCTCTCTCTCTCTCTCCCTCTCACTCTCTCCTTCGGTCTTCTTTGCGATGCAACAAAGCTGCAGAATTTATTGAAGTCGTTTTTTTCCACGTGTTTTTTTTCTTCTGCCCTGTCCGTTTTATATTTTTATGATATCGAGTCATAAATGGGTAATAAAATTAAATGAAAAAGTTTTATGATATTGAGGGGCTGGTTTGCAGTGAGCAATCATCACATGCCTAAGAGATAGGGAGAGAGAGAGTGAGTGGAGGAATGAGAGAGAGAGAGAGAGAGACTCAATAAAGCATTAGATCGATATGACGATCGCTATGATTAATCGTTAGGTCAGGAATGATGTCAGCGCCCAATGTTTGACGGAAGTTTATCTATCCTCGTTTCGTTGTTATTGCATTTTTTTCTCTACTCACTCTCCTCTAGATATACCATCAATAAAAAAAAATGCAAAGTGCATTGTAAATGGCCGTCATATCCTTTTGTGAAATGTGTTGTTTTATTTTATTGACTTATGATATATATTGTGAAAAATGAGATGAAATGATGGTTTCATGCTAGGCGCTAACATCATTTAGCCGAGCTAGCAATATAATCGTTGGTAATATGTTTATTGCGATTTGAGAGCTGATTCTTCTTCGTTTTCGAAGATACTTCGATGCGTTTTTTTCTGCTTCTTCTCAAACACAGTTTCTCCGTCTTTTTTTTTGCACCCGTAATCGATTGTTAATCGCTCTTCAAATCGGAAAACAAAGTATGCAAAAACAGACAAATTATAAAACAGCAACAACAACAACAGCAGCAGCAGCAACGATGCAAATCGTTTAGCAAATTGAGATTGATTATTAAGCTAAAAGCACTGTAAATATAAAACGAACGGTGGAATTTGTAGCACAAATTGTCTTGGAATTTTAAATACGCTCTTCGAATTGAAATCTTTCAACACTTGATTATGTGTGGTGTAGTGCCAAGGGCGCCGTTTGATTTTCTCGAATTGCACAATAAAAACACAGGTGGAAAAAAATCTTGCTTTTATAACTATGAATCAAATTTGCTTAATCAGACCAGGGTACAATTTGTGCAATCTAGTTGTGTAAAGCAGCACCACCGTCACCTTTGCCGCATCAATACTGAATTCTCACTTAGACAGAAGGCACAAATGGTTGTATACAATTTTCAGAAATTGTGATTATCAGTTCCATTCCCACGGGATTTTCTCGCTAATTTTGTTTACACTTTGATTGAATAAACTGTTTTCTGATATTGCATTTGTAACGAAATGGAATCGAAGCAGGACTGAACGAAAGAAAAAGAAATCTTGCGCGCGCTCATGACATTGCATTGACAACGAACGGTTTCATTTTCAAATCATTAGAAATCGCATCGCCCAGCCGCGTGTAAACGTGCAATATCGCCGTTGTCGTTTGGTCACAGAACGAAAGAGAGAAAAAAAAACGACGACGCACACATTGTTTGCAATTGAACGCGTCGGAATAAACGAAGTGTGCTTAAACATATACAAACCGAAAAAAAGACAGAAGAATAACAATTGATATTGTATACACATCACACAAAGTGTACAAAAACAAAACAAAAAAACGACGAAAGATTTATCATCATTTATGCGATTCGCGACGACGCAGTGTATGTACAAAGTCAAGAATTAGCACGTTGAGTTCATGGAATTTCCATATCATCTCTATGACGATTGACTAATGCTTCTAATATTCGATCGCGGTGCACAACAATTTATTTATCTGGATTGCATTTCATAAAGCTTCAGGAATGCATCATCCATTTTTGTTTTGTTTTCATTGTTCTTGTTGTTGGTGGTGGTCGGTTAGCTGTGTTTGTTTCTGTTAACAAAACGGCACTCGTTTGAAGAAAATGGTTTTTCTTTTCTTTCATTTCCATTCGTTTTGATTGGAATTGCTTTTTTTTTCGTTCTTTCATTCGTTTCGAAAATGGTTTGTGTACATGGGTAGCAGCACAGTTTGCTCGGTTTTCGACAGCATCGATTCGGAGCCACCCTCAAGCACAATCAGCCGATGATGTGTTCGGCTAAAATCGATTGATGCCCCGGCAACGAGATGTTTGAACGGATTTTTTCGGTCGGTTTTTAAGGAAGTTCCACTCAAGCTGCACAATCCAGTCAATAAACAGCAAATGTGTGCAAATAAACTGGAAAACCATATTCATATCGCTCAATAAATATCATATTGCATACGTATTCCTTTAACCTAGGGGCTAGGAACAAGTTGTGTCATTCGTATGTATTTGCATATATTCATGCGTTCGTGGCTTTGTTATTGTTGTTATACACTCACTGCGCTGCGAATGTCTCGTATATCACAAGAATTCACGAATATTCGTACGAATTCGTCTCAAGCGCTTGTGTTCCTACCCCCTAGCCTTTAAACAAACGACACGGAAAGAAACACGCATTTAAAACGGTTCTTGGGGAAATGATTTCATTTCATTTGGAATTTACACACCACAAGGCGAAAAATAATGAGACAGAGAGAAGAGATAGGGCAGAAGAAAAAAAAACAAGAACCATTTACTTGTAAATATATATTGAGAAAAACTTTACCAAGATAATTGCAATGTATTGAGTGTGCAAATTAGTTTTTAAATCCACACCGCATCGTCATGGTGTTAAGTGAATAATGCCGTTGTTATCTGTCTTGGTGACAATATTATAGCTCTCTGTGCGACGAAAGAGAGCAAAAAATAAAACGACTCTAACCGTAAAGAGCTCTACTTGTGCATAAATTA